CCCTCATCCAGAATTACATCATGGATGAAGGCAGTTTTATTTTGTACTGACCTGGCATTCATCAACAGCACCGTGTGGCTTGAGGGTTTGCTGATATGGTCACCTGATACCATCTGGTTGGGGGTAGGACGAGAAGAGGGGATAGATGTAAGATATCTAACCTCTCTTCTCCTGCGCGGGCATGTTCTACCCACCACCACCATTCCTTCCTCTACCCAGCACTACCTCAATGACTGACCCCTCCAACACCCTCCCCCCTTCCTGTTTTCTAAAATCCACTGTGGTTCTCTTCTTAATTGATGGCAATTAATCACAATTTAAAAAAGTTTTTAAAATATATAAAATAAAACCTTTCTAAAGCCCCTTCTCCCCCCCCGCCTCATGGCTCATGTTGAGAGGGGGGTGAGGCAGCCAGGAGCAGCAGGGCCCAGTCCTGCAGACACAGACGGAGGCTGATGTGTGTGATTACAACTCTGTGCTAGTCCAGTCCTCTGAAGATGCCAGCCACAGACATTGGTGAAATGTCAGGAAGAACAACCTTCAGAACACAGCCAAAGAGCCCCAAAAACCTAAAACAATCATTAGATCCCGGCCATGAAAGCCTTCACGAATGCTATTTGCTTTGTTTACTTTTATTCATTATAAATTATAATTTATTAATAGAACTGTAATCTGCATTTTATTGTTTACATCCTCAAAGAATGGTAAGCTGTTTTGAAATCAAGCATAATCAAAAATCATTTTATTCATTTCACACATGCAATAAACCACACAAACTGCAAAAACACATACTCCTTAAAATGAATAGAAAATTATTCTTAAGGTGTAGCAGTCTATTTGTTGAGCTTCAAAATTTGTCCCATGATCAACTGATATTACTTTCCCAATATAGGAAGAGTCTGACTATGTCAAGGCAAAGGTCTATGTAGTTCAGCATCTTGTTTAAAACCAGTGCCCACCATAAACCAATGGGAACTTTGCCAGCTAGGCATGCATGGAGTCGGTCCCTCCATCTCACTTTCCAAAGCAACTGGTCTACAGAGTCTTCTTGCTTTTGTTACTTGATTTACACATGCTGTGGCTAGCAGCCACTTATGGGCCTCACTGAGAACCCAAACCAACTCTAACCATAGCTGAGGTCCATTTTCCAGATTTTCTGGTAATCTGAAGGCTACAGTTCCAAAGGAGAAGGGCTAAAAGAGGAAGAAACTTTGGCCGCTACATGGAGAATATCTTCACATGTGAAGCAGTTCTCAGCAAGAGATGGAGGTGTTCCACTCCTCTTATCATCATTATATTTTCCAAAAAGCAAATGAATGCAGAATCCTTGGATCAATGTGAATGGATTTAGAAGAACATACCTTGGAAACCTTCAGTTCAGCCTCCCTGTTATTCCAAATAAATCTGCATATCAGTGACACCCAGCTTTTGTAATAAATTCTTAACACCATAGCTACCAGATATTGAAAATCTTGAGTTCTATTCTCCTGTTGAAAGAAAAATCAGAGGGTGGTAAGGAGTCATTCTGATATAACATATGTAGGATATACCACAACGAATACATACACCAGACATTTCCCTGTAAGTATTTATGAAACATTGTCATGTGTGATGTTCCTTGGACCATTTTATTCATGATGTACCTCTTTAGCCCAGGGCTAACACTCAACCTATTGCAAAACATCTACTTACTCTTGCAAGGAGTTCAACCATTTGATTAGAAGATCTTTCCCCAGAGCCTCCTCCACCTGTTTCAATTTCCCTTGATCAGGGAGGATGAAAAGTGCTGAAGCACCACCCTTGTTAAGGAAGCTGCACCACTTGGCAAGCAGATCTGCATTGCGGTAAGTCTTAAAATTGCTGTCTTTGTTCATCATAGGAACTTTGACTGTTGTCTTCTTATCCACAAAGAAATAGGCTTCACGGGTTTCCTCATAACTGAAAGGATTTCCCCTGATAGGCTTTGGAGGTAAAAGATGAAAGCATGGAGGTTAGTGTGGGATGTTCAAAGGGTTTTCAATCCCCATTTGGAAATTTGCCTGACTGTAAAGGAGACTAAATGCAAGGATGGGGCCATAATTGTTGTCCTCATCAGTTTGACATCCTTTTCATCTGTATTATTGCTTAATCCAATGGAAAGACATGCTCATGGGCTTGCCATTTCCCCCCCAACTGAGGATGCACTGTTTCCAAACTGTTTTATTTTTAAAAGGAACAGAAAAGGGTTTCATTCAACATTGAAACATGCTAATACAACAAAGTCCGAATAGTCAAAGCTATGGTTTTTCCTGTAGTGATGTTTGGAAGTGAGAGCTGGACCATAAAGAAGGCTGACCGCCGAAGAATTGATGCCTTTGAATTGTGGTGCTGGAGGAGACTCTTGAAAATCCCCTGGACTGCACGGAGAACAAACCTATCAGTTCTAAAGGAAATCAACCCTGAGTGCTCACTGGAAGGACAGATCCTGAAGCTGAGGCTCCAGAACTTTGGCCATCTCATGAGAAGAAAAGACTCCTTGGAAAAAACCTTGATGTTAGGAAAGTGTGAAGGCAAGAGGAGAAGGGGACGACAGAGGATGAGATGGCTGGACAGTGTCTGCGAAGCAACCAACATGAATTTGACACAACTCCGGGAGGCAGTGGAAGATAGGAGGGCCTGGCGTGCTCTGGTCAATGGGGTCATGAGGAGTCGGACATGACGACGACAAATACAACATTGGAGAAAAATTAAAAGAGAGAGAATGGCAGCAATAGCCAATTGCATGTTAGCACCTTAAGACAGCTTTTGCAGTTGGAGCTTCATGCCCCCGCCTCTCATTCCTGCAAATTGTTGTCTGGATGATGGCAGAGATTTTACCTAGAAAATAAAATTTTCATGGATTCATTGCAGATCAAACCATTCCCCCTCTCCTGTAGTTCCTTACCTTCTAATCAACACATCTCATTAACAGAACAATATTACAGCTGGATAAACGCATGGGCAAAGCAGCTACCATGTTCTCTAGACTCACAAAGAGAGTATGGCTCAATAAGAAGCTGACGGCATATACCAAGATCCAGGTGTACGGAGCCTGTGTCCTGAGTACATTCCTGTACTGCAGTGAGTCCTGGACCCTCTGTGCACGGCAGGAGAGGAAGCTAAGCATGTTCCACATGTGCTGTCTCTGACTCATTTTTGGTATCACCTGGCAGGACAAAATTCCAAATAGAGTAGTCCTAGAACGAGGTGGAATTTTTAGCATGTATACATTACTGAAATAGTGACGTCTAAGTCGGCTTGGGCATGTTGTGATAATGGCTGATGGTCGGATTCCAAAAGATCACCTGTATGGAGAATGAGTGTAGGGAAAGCGCCCCAGAGGGAGACCACAGCTACGATACGAGGACATCTGCAAGCGGGATCTGACGGCCTTAGGAGTGGACCTCAGCAAATGGGAAACTCTGATATCTGAGCGTTCAGCCTGGAAGCAGGCTTTGCATCACAGTCTCTTCCAATTTGAAGAGACCCTTGTCCACCAGGCCAAGGCAAAGAGGAAGTCACAAAAGCAGCAAAACCAGGGAGCTGGACAGGGGACAGATTGCATTTGTCTTTAGTGTGGAAGAGATTGTCACTCTCGATTGGCCTCCTCGGCCACACTAGAGGCTGTTCCAAGTCCTCCATACAGAGCATGTTACCATAGTCTCTCGAGACTGAAGGATGCCTACCTAGTACCAGAAAAAAACTTTTCAAGAAGATACAGTTTACAAGAACCATTGCAGTCTCTAGGCTGAGACCCTTGATTGCATCTTTTATATGGGTTTTATTTTTTATGTAACTATTGATCTGCTTTTCAACTTCAGAAGGATTCTTGAAGTTGGCAGGAAAAATCTCTGCCTGATAACAGTGTTTGGCATCCTTCACAAACTTCTCCAGAAGTTCCACTTGGTCATGAGTGAAAAGGGCATTTCCAGTGTTCAGCTCAAGTTCAGCCTTGGGGCGGTTTAGCATTTGGAGAAGGTAACGAAACCCATCATGGATTTCCTGCTCACTGATCTCTGTCTTGTTGAAGCCAAGTCCAGACAAAAGCTGGCTCAGGGTGGCGGATTTCGCTCCCAGGGACAGGAAGGCGAAGGCGGTGGAAATGCTCAAAGGAGAGAAAAACACATTCTCGTCACCAGCCTCCGAAACAATTTGGCAGAAGAATTTAAAAGCAAAGTTGGCATTGCTTCTGGAGATCTTTAAATAGAACAAATAATCAGGATTTTCAGTTGGATGATATTGGTCATGGTTGTGATCATCAGAACCTTTTCCTTGATGGCCAGGGGCATGGTGATTTTGTGCAAAACCACAGATCCCTAGAAGAAGCATATAGAGATAGAAATTCAATATGGTGTTGGACAGAATCTAATCTGGAAAGGAAGAAACACATTATTAACTGGTTGCTAAAGCACAAGATCATACGTAGATTTCCTTGTACAGCTGTCAGAAAGCAAGACTTCATTTGTAGTCTGGACTTTGAGCAGGATCTGCTGGATACTCTTGGTACTGCACAGTAATTGACTGTAATGCAAGGTCTGACCAAATAATATTAACCAGACTTTATGGAAAATCTGTCAACATAATTGTAATTTACAGTAAGTCTATGCTCCAACTACCAATGAATGTGAAGACAAAATTAAAGCTTTTATTTAAGCATCCAAAAGGAAACTGATCACATGCCGAAACAAGACATGCTTATAATCTTACGTGATTGGAACACAAAAAAAGGAGCAGAGCACAAGAAAATGTTGTTTGAAATGTTTCTTATTATTGCTTATTAATGAATCTTGGTTTTTGTGGTGGATGCTTTTATTGTAAGCTGCGGGGAATAGTGGTCTGGCCACTAGATGGGTGGGGTAAAAATAAAATAAAATAATAAATAAAATATATAATATTTATTCTAGGAGACAGAAACGAATCAGGAGAATGATTCATATATTTCTGTGATGTCAATAATATATTTATTGCAAGTACATGCTTCATCACAACCGAACAGTGAAAATTACCAGATAGATGGTCAATACCGAAATCAAATAGACTACATCACTGGAAGCAGGAGGTAGGAAAACTATATTCTCTCTGCCAAAACAAGACCAGGAGCAGATTGTAGGACTGATCATGAACTCTTAATATCCAACATTAGAGTAAAACTGAAAAAGAAACTAATCTAATTAGTTTATTAATATAATTTAAAATTTTAATTTAAGAACATTCCTGATGAATGGAAGAGTAGACAATAGGCAATACCTTTATAGACCACTAATAAAAATCATACAATATATGAGCTTTTGTGGGTAAATCAAAGCAAAGTATTAAAAGTCCAAGAGTTCATGGCAATACGGATTTTGCCAGGAAAATTACTCTTGCCAAGAACCATGGATTAAGAGTCACTGTCTTGTCAAAATCAGAGAGAGAGAGAGAGAGAGAGACAGACAGACAGACAGACAGACAGAGACTTTTTCTGGACAAGTCAAAAAAGTGAATTTGATACTTACATCGAAAGAGGAATTTTGGCAGAAACTGTGAAAGTCTTTGCAATGGGTTTTCCTTTGTACAGTGAGGCACTGTTGAGAAATGTACACTCTTCAACAAATATTAAGCCGAGCAAATTGATCTGGAAAAAACAAATATTGATCAAAAATTGCATTTGTGGATTACCAACAGTTCCAAGTTCAGAACTTTCTCTCCCTGAGAGTGAAGTTTCTGTGCAAAATGACAGGGTTCATAAGAAGTGCACCATGTGGCTTCCTGCTCCATCTTGCACCAGAAACATCATCCAATCCCATCATGTCTCTTTTGGAACTATGTAAAGAAGCATTAAACTGCCCATTAGTTGCTTGCTGAGGGCGTAGGTCTCAGTGGAAACATAATGACTTTAATCCTAAGAACTCTCATGTCACCCAGGTGACTGTGCTGTACAATCTACAGTGAGATGAGTAACACTCCCTCTTGTACTGAGCCAAAATAACTTGAAAGTAATTAAAGTGTTACTATTACATTGCCCAAGATGTCATGTTATCCCTCATTATGTCAGAATATTAATGTAACTTGGTAATCCCTTCATTATTATGAAAAAGAAAAACCCTACGGCTCACTCACTGTTTGTAACAAGTTGCTTTCAAACTCTGCTCATTTGGAAGGGAAATTCTTAATATTTTCTCAGAGGAGATTTATGCATTTTCATGAAGAGGTTCATCAATTAGAAAATATCACCAGGTGCTGCTATTAAATTTTTTCAGATAAGCAGGAAAAAGGGATGCCAAGCTTTACACAGGAAAAGCCAATCTCAGTGTTTCTAGTAATCATGCCAGCAATCAAGATGGTCTACCGGATCCCCTCTTGTGCTCATTATTATTCACGAAGAGATACCAAGCAAGGAGAAATCCCAGAACCTGACTCCTTTTTCATCACATAACAAGTTTCCACCTGAGCACAAAGTAAGCATTACGGCTGGTTTTTTTGACAAGTTCTCAATGTTTTATTCTTTTTTTTAAGTGGAGTAATGAAAAAGTGAGTCCAACAAGGTTCCCTCTCAGGTGCATGCCTGCACACCTGCACGTGATTCCATCTCCTTCCACAAAGATTTCTTTCTCCTGCACACAGTCATCGTTTCCAGCTCCTTTGGTTCCGGTTGCAATGGATCCCCGCGTGAGTGGGGGTGAGTTGCACACACAAGCAAGGGCAAAGTTGCGCATGAGAAAGGCAAAGCCCTACCCAGCGAGGCTGAAAATTAGAGGGTATGTTGGAGCTCAGGAAGAAGAAGAAGTTTTGTTTTGGATCTCCTCCCCATTTATCATTGAAATGACAGCTCAGGGTGGCCATTGTCATGACTAGGTCATAAGCAGAGCTTGGTCATGCTGGGAGTTTATTACAGTTGTAGTCCAAAACAGTAACTTTTTCCTCTCTGGTTGTAAACCTAGAAGCTGAGGTTGAATAGAAGAATTGTTTTGAACAATAAATTTGGAGAAGCCCACTTTCCTAGATAATCAGAAAGACAGAGCATGGAACAATACTACTTTGGATGGCAGCTCCAGTAACCCCTTAGCCTACACAGCATTTAACATGCCAACTAAGGATTCTGGGGACTGTACTGCAAACAAACAAACAAGCAAATGAAAAATGGGAACTTTAAGAAGTTTGGGGAAAAATGTTTCAGGAAGAGCAAGTGCTCTCAATTATAATCCTGTACAGATTACTCAGAAATAAACTGACAACAGAGGAGGACAAGCTTTTGGGGCCATCTCAGAGTGATGCCTTTGTTTTGTGCCACTTAAAATTTTAGTGCCTAGCAGTTATTTCCTTTCTACAAAGGTTTACTCAATTGAGTGTGATTTTTTTTGTTCTTTTGAGTGAGATTGGAGAACACTCATAATAGAAGTTGCCTTTCTAAAATCAATGGTTTAAGCCCAGTGTTAAGACTCATTCAGACTCATGACTTCACTGACATGCCACGTGATCAGAAGTGATGCTGTAGAATATCACATGTTTTCCCTTGCAAATTCCCCTCCATCCACCTGAACTTTGCTTTGAGCTTTCTGAAATGGAGAGGCCTGGCAGAGGGAAAAATGTCTCACATTGTCTTGCATTGCCTTATGAAGCAGCTGAGCCTTATTATATTATTACAGGAATCCATCCATCCATTGATCTGTGCTTGTTTGTAGCTTTCAAAATAAATGTGCAAAATTATGACTTCACGATACCTCGTATCAGCTTCTTAGAGAACTACAGCCATTTTTTTTTTAAAAAAAAATAAACCTTGGAATTATGGGTTCAGTATCCACGGGCTGCAAATATTAAATTGAATATTAAAAGTATTAGAAGAAAAAATGCAGAAAAAATCCACATGCTCTACCAGAACTGGTCACTAGAGGGAGCTAGAGATGGTCCCCAACTGTTTTGACATCACAGACTGGTTGGGGGGAGACAAGGTTTGTGTGCAGAGGGGTGGGGTGTGTACAGTGCACACGCACACTCCACTTGCATCCATACACAAAGGGATGGGGCACTTGTGCAGCGCATGCATCCACAAAGGGTGGGGCCACTCGCACAGAAACCCATGCGCATGCGCACAGGGGTTGGAGTGCTTGCACAACACATACTCACACACATAAGTGAAGAGGTGGGGGTGCTTGCAGGGCATGCACACACACTCGTGTGCATGCACAAAGGGGCTGTGCAGGGGGAGTGTGTGCGGGGGCGGAAGATCTGTGTCCGCTGCCTGGTCCGGGCAAGGCCAGACCAGCACTGGGCTGCAGACCGGGGGGTTGGGGACCCCTGCTATAAAGAATACTATGGTTTATGACTGCTCAAGGCTTCCCCTCTTGAAAGTTTTCTCCCAGGAGGCTCTGGAGCAGTTCTTCCTGCCTGAGGTTAAAAAAAGGGGTCAATGCCAGGCAATTTGGGTGGAAAGCGGGCATCTCCAGTTGGCTTGCTTTGCATGGAGGCCTGAGAGCAATCATGTTGGCAAACAGTTCAGCATGCAGATGAGCACCCCTAGCAAGGCAGCGGCGGCCTCCGTGCTCCAGTCTCCCTTTGAGTAATTGCTGAGTTTGCATGGAATGTAGGGAGGGCAGGGGGGAGGCTTTGTCCTTCTACTTTCCAGGTAGTTAGTGAGGGTGGGGAGGGCCTCTGACTTGGCCTCTTGCTTTTTAGCATCCATAGGGGGAGATTGGAATCAATCCCCTGCAGATACAGGGGTCCTACTGTATATGTATGTAGCTCCCTCACTCTCCCACTTGTGTTTTCCCATGGCGGATCTGTTCAGATATTCAGCAAATGCAGTAGTTGCATATTGCAAGCCTATTCTGTTTTTAGATTGCAAGAATGGAAATATACTATAGTATGGAAAGCTTTTATTGGAAAGAAACCCATTATTACAAAAGCGGTATCAGATCTATGCAAATTGATATCAGCTTGTGTGAAACCTCTTTAAGCAAAGTTACATCCCACTGGCTTGTATCTTGTTACGTAGCTCTGCATTCACATCAAGAGTGACATCAGCATCACACACAGATTGCTGCTAACTAGAGATTCCTTTTTAAAAAACATTGGGGTGTATGCAACTCACATACAATGATACATGTTGCTGGTGATATCACTCTGGTTCCACCGTTTTGAACCCTCTTGTGGAGTGGTCCTGTACAAATTTATTTCCTGGTAATCACATAATATATGAAGAATTGTGCACCAGCCCAATCCCAATTGATGCCTTTAGGGCTATTAATTTGTGGGGCTGATCTGGAGTCATTTTAAGGGATGTCACTCCTGCCAAGCAGTCCTTTCTTTCTGGTGCAATTGGATGCATATATTCCTTGTCACATCTCTGTCTACTAATTGGAATCATTACAAGTTTCATTCAATTTTTTTACTCAAAAAACTCTAAATAATTTAAAATAATTTAATAATATATTTAATTTTAATTTAATTTTATTTAATTATTAAATTTATTGAAACAATTTATTGAATAATTTAAATAATAGAACATAAATTGCATATTAAAATAAATTATAAAATATATTATTTAAACAATTTATTTAAATAACTGAAACAATAATACATTTATAAATTATTTATTTAAACATCAAATAATAAAATAATCAATTTGAATCATTTAAATAACTTATTTAAATCATTTTAGGTCATTTAAAATTATTTAAAGAAGTTATTTAAACAATTTAAAATTATTCCATCCATATTCCATTTGTTAGGGTAGGCATCCTTCAGTCTCGAGAGACTATGGTAACATGTTCTGAACAGAGGTCTTGGAACAGGGTCTAGTGTGACTGAGAAGGCCAATTCGAGAGTGATAATCTCTTCCACACTGAAGACAAATACAACCTGTCCCCTGTTCTGCTCCCTGATTTTGCTGGTTTTGGGACTGTTCTTTGCCTCGGCCTGCTGGACAAGGGTATCTTCAAATTGCATTTGTTAAGAGCCCCAGTAAAACAGCTGATGCCTCTGAATCTTTTCACACATACTGTTTATTTAGGCAAGACTACATTGTCAACAAGAAGCCCCCCAGTTGTGTGATCAATTCTCTTTTGGATTTCTAACTTTTCCCATAAATAAGATGGAACTGGTTTCAGCTTCATGGATGAGCAGTAGGAAAGGGTGGTTTATTCTCACTTCAGGGGGAAGGGAGGTGGGAACAATCTCCACAACTGTGGTAGCTGCAGCTTCGGTCCCATTCTCATGGACATTCACAAAGGATTGGTGAAGAGCCTGCAAGGAAAGAAGACATGAATTAGTGGGCAAAAGTGACCCAGATTTTATTGCTGTCCTTCAAAGTGGAGGAATCAATTTAGCATATTATTGGCTTTTGTTCGGTTTTTGTTTTTTCAGTGACCAATTCTGAGTATTTGGGCATATTGTATCCTTATACCAATGAGCATGAACAAGTTGGCAGAGTTTCTGATAATTTCCCCTGAAAACAGGAAAATAGTAATAAAAAAAAACTTTCCTGGAGTAGACCGATGATCTATCTAGTCAAACATTACTTCTCCGGCACAGGCAACCAAATTTCTCTGGGAAGCCCATAAACCAGACCTAAGCAACAGCATCATCCTGCTTGACTCATATTGAATCTGACAAACATAGTTATTGTCAGGTGATAATGATAATGAAACTCGGACACGACTTAATGACTAAACAACAGCAACTCTCTACCTAGAAAACCCTGGGAAGCGTGATGATGAAGAAGATGATGATTTGGCCATTGACAAGAACAGGTACCTAGAAAACCCCGGGAAGTGTGATGATGAAGAAGATGATGATGATTTGGCCATTGACAAGAACAGGACTTTTAATAGTGGGTGCTGCTGGTTTTGTTTTTAAAATAGTTTTACAAATGCAAATATTTAATTGTTAATGTAATAAATTTTTGGTTTTAGTACAGTCATCTACTGTGGGTTTGTTTTGGCTGTATCTGTTTTTTGGAACTTATGTCTTGGGTGCTCGAAAGAGAAAGGTGAGATACAAATTTCATAAATAATAAATGTTAAATAAATGGAGATTATATTGATATATGAAGCAGCACTTGAAATAAGATTAGAAAATAGCCAAAATTCCATTTGGTTTTTACACATGTGCAACAGCTTAATGGCATGTGATTTGTTATTTTATTCCAATTGAATAGGAGCAATATTGACAACTCTCTATGCGCACACAAGCACATACTTGGTTTTAATGGCTTCATGTTCAGCTTGCAAAACTCCATGCCAGAGATTGCTGAAACAGTTATGGAACACTCTACCTGGGAACAGGTATGCTTCATAATTGCTGGCCAATATGCACTGCAATGGTGAAACATGTCTGTTTCTCATAAGAACCAATTTCCCTCATCCTGTATCTTGCATTTAGCCATCTCTTATTTTGTGATTAGGTCACTGGAAGGTAAGTATGAACTTACTTTGCAAGCCTGATTGCTGAGGCATGAATTTCAGAGGAGATCTTACCATGGACAGAAGCCACTTTGGTGACAGGAAGAATGCATTTCCCTTAATATTTAGTTTTCAATTACTCTTCCTTCCACATTTACATTATGTACTTACGGGTAGAGATGACTGCAACACTCACTCTGGCTATTTTGATTTATCCAATGTATATAACATTTCATTTCATGTTGTTTTGTGTATGTGTTTAATTTAGATTTTTATAGCTATTATGGTTACTGTTTATAAACTGCCGTTTATTATGTTATAATTAGACATGGGGATGAATAAAAAATAAATCATAATATTCGTAGGAAATTGCTGACTCATCAAATATTTGTATTAATCAATTCCAGAGACCCCTACAAATATGAAGCGAGAAATATTTACCTGTTTTTAATTACTCTATTGGTTACTCCAGAACAGCGGCTTCCTTCTCTGCCTATGCCCACATGGAACAGCTGTTGGTTTCCATGGGGGCATATGCTGGAACAGCATAACTGGAACTAGGCTGCTGGAACAGCAGCGGTCATGGTGTGGCGGTAGCGGCAGCAGAGGAGGAGGTAACAGGACAAGGTAGGAAGGAATTGGGGCAGTGGGAAGGAGGCAGTGGGCAGACTGTGGGGCGGTGGAGGCTCAGCTTTTTTAAAAAACAGCCACTGTCTGTCTAAAAACACACACACTGATGAACTGATTCATGGTTTGTTGTTAAAACATTAGTAAATTTGTGGTTTGTCAACCTTGATGAAACACGAAGCAAGACAAACCGTCATTTTGTCGTTTCATTCCCATCTCTAGTTGTAACTTCGTAAACAACCCAGACGTGGTGGCACTGTGGGCTAAACCACAGAAAGCCTGTACTGCAGGGTCAGAAGACCAGCAGTTGTAAGATCGAATCCACATGACGGAGTGAGCTCCCGTCGCTTTGTCCCAGCTCCTCGCCAACCTAGCAGTTCGGAAGCATGCACATGTGAGTAGATAAATAGGTACCACCTCGGTGGGAAGGTAAAACGGCGTTCCCTAGTCACGCTGGCCACGTGACAAAGGAGACTGTCTTCGGACAAGCGCTGGCTCTACAGCTTGAAACGGGATGAGCACCGCCCCCTAGAGTCGGACACGACTAGACTGAAAAATGTCAAGGAGAACCTTTACCTTTAAACAACCCAGAGTGGCCTTGACAGCCAGATAGGTGGTATAAAAATCAAATAAATAAATAAATAAATAAATAAATAAATAAATAAATAAATGCCCCACAGTGAACCTGGAAACTGATACAAAGTTTTAGTAATAAGTCCATATATTTCTGGACAAGTGAAATATTCTGTGAATTTCAGAGGAGATTTTGCCATGGACAGAAGCCACTTTGGTGACAGGAAGAATGTCACGAAAAAGCGTTTTGTCAGCACTTTTATACAGTTTTTCAAAAATATGTAAAACACACCACCCTGTACATTGCTAAAATGTGCATATAAAAACCAGCAGGGCAGGCATCTGTTAATGGTATGGGTGCCCCAAAAGAAGTAGCTTTCCTCAAAACACATCCTGTGTAGAACCAGCCTCAAATGGATATGTGGGTGAGGAAAAGAAAATGTTCATAGAAGGAGAACTGACTGATCTGTGTGTGGCCTGAAAAGTCATGTGAAACATAGAGCAGAGTCCTTGGTTGGCCCAATTCATGTAGCATGGTGAATTCTGAAACCATACCTTAGAAACCATCAGGTTATGTTCCCTGGTAATTCCAGAAAGGTCTGCATTATTTGTGAATACATCAATAACACCCAATTTTCTCATCAGTCCTTTGAGAACGTATTTCCCAGATATTGAAAATCTAGGCACATAGAGGTTTATTCTCCTGCAGGAAAAAAAAACCCAGATATTAGTATCATTCTGAGCAAATGTGTATTAAGTCCCAATGTACAGAAATTTACAATTTATCTAGATGAAAAAGATCCCCCCCAGTAACCATTGCATTAATGAGCTTTCAATTTTACATTTTAAAATCACTATGCCCTGGGAATTTGGAACCATTTCAATACATGTGCTAAACACACTTCTATGTACAGATAATGAGAGCATGAAGAGGCAGCTGTCTTAGACTGTTCCAGCACATATTACAAATTCTTTTTAAAAACCACCTGAAAGCACCTTATATCAATGTGAGCTTTTGTGGACTATAGCTTGCTTCTACAGTTGTGTCTGAAGACCCAGAATAGAAAATCCATGTAAATGTTGCAAAACATCCACTTGAAGAGAATCATTGGCATATACAGTGCTTTATATAGTATTATATAGGACTTTGGAGTCTATGTTGTTGTCCAGTTTAACAGTGAAATGCAAGTATCTCAGCAGATGATAATAGTTTTCAAAGGAAACCTATGTCTAGAGGGGGGACATTATGGAAAGGATGATCTAATGCTTTCAAGGCTGAGCTGGCTCTCTAGTACTCAATGGATCATGGATTTTTACAAATCCCATTTTCATCATATCCAGGTGGAGAAAGGCTGATGTAGGTAAGGCTTGTCTGGGATCATAGGCAGCACCAAGTTTACCTTCAAAATACCTCTGTTAACACCATGATTTTGCCTCCAAAACTGGCAGAAAGACTATAAGCAACCCTATTAGGAAATAGCAGATTGTTTTTCCTCCCTACTAAGATCTCAGCCAGACCTGAGAAGGGCTGCTGTTTTAATTAAGCTTCCAAAACTCCTCTGTAAAAGGCATCCAAATCAAGGCTGGTCCACCCTCTATCCTTTATGTGACATGTTAGTTCATTCCGTTCCTGGATAGATGACAGTCTCCATTAAGAACAAAAAATCCAGCAAATGGAAAGGAAATGCAAGCAGCTATGCATGGAGGAATCCTACACAATACTCTCATTGTGTGACTTATCCACTCAGAGCCCATATAACAATCATTTTTTCCACAGTCTCTCACACTCAGTCATCCCTAAGTACTTGGGTCCATCAGGATAACACAATTGGCATAAATTTCACCTGTAAGATGTTATGTATACCTATAAACTGCATGGTGACACTCAGACTGAGCCTTCCTTTATGCCACAGTGGTTGGTGTGTCCAGAGAGGATCTTGGACTTCATGGAAGGGTTCAGCTATCATTTGTCTTCCTCTTTGGTACCTGTAGCTCAAACTATCTACCATATTACTTTCTATTCCCCCTTTGGTCAATTTAACTCACCGGTGATATTTTAACCCTATAAATCCAGAATTGTATATGAAGGACCCATTGTGTTGTGTGGCTCCTTGCTCACTACAGAATGGCATGTATACCCTGATTCAGTCAGCTCTTGCACATATGTCCAAAGATAGTGTGCATACCTATTTTTTATTGCTGACATTTCCCCCTTTTGTCCAGAGAGATCAGGACTGAATATAATATTTCCCTTCCCATTCCCTTCCCATTACTTAGCTAGGCAAGATGTGAACAGCAGATCCGATACATGTTAAGGTGAGAGTTGATCAGTGCTTTGAATAGGAATCAAACTCAAATGCTCTCCTGTCCAAGCCTAATGCTCCATTGAACACAGCACACAGCTTTACCCTTTATCTGATCTCATCTCATCTCATCTCATCTCATCTATCAAAGGCTTTCCATGGGTATACCTAAGGCTTCTAGAGAAGATGGGTTGCCCTGTGGCTTAAGATCTTCTTTCATAGTGGGGTTGTTCCATTCCAGCCTAAGCCTTGCCACAGGACCTTCTGTAGGGAGACAGGACTACCATTTTGTTACTATTCCGGATGCCTCTGATCTTCTTTCCATGCAGGTCTCGGCTACATTCCCTGTCACTTAACCATGTATGATGATAACAAATTGAACAAATCTTAGGTTGTCCTTCAAATGGAAAACTTTTCAGTCTTCATCTAAAATTCTCTCCACCGCCACACACTGACTTACCGACGTCTCAGTGAATGCAGCCATTTAAACAAGACATCTTTGTTCAGAGCATCTTCCACCTGTTTCATTTTCCCTGGGTCGGGCAGAATGAACAATGCGGAAGCACTGCCCTTGTAAGGGAGCTGCACCACCTGGCAGGACAGATCTGTGTCACGGTAGCTGCTGAAGAAGCCATCTCTGTTCATCATAGGAACTCTCACTGCAGTGTGTTTATCCACAAAGAAATCCCCTTCTCGAGTAGCTTCATAATTGAAAGGGTTCCTCCAGTAAGCTTTTGGAAAGGGGGAATAAGAAAAGGATGCAGTTTACTGTAGCAAACCAAAGATTTTGCTCCTGCTTGGAGGGAAAAAGCATTTCATGTATTTTAAAATCATGATATGATTAAGATTTCTGGATGCAACCTTTGAAATTCCATTCTGAGTAACAAACACACACTTAAATATTATATCTACTTGAAGGATTTCAGTGCAAGAGAGCTAATTATCACTTCTCTATATTCAATCATTTTATACCTTTTTGTTGCTAAAAACTGGGATTGCTGAAAATACACATCATGCAATAAGCAAAATCATACAACAGGATCATGCCCAACATCTGGACATGTGTAGCCTTGAGGAAAGAAGACTGAGGGGAGATATGATAGCACTTTTCAAATACTTGAAAGATTGCCACACAGAGGAGGGGCAGTATCAGTTCTCAATCCTCCCAGAGTGCAGGACACAAAGTAATGGATTCAAGTTCCAGAAAGCCAGATTTAGGCTGAATATCAGGAAAAACATATTAACTGTTAAAGCAGTAGACAGTGGAAGCGATTACCTTGGGAGGTGGTGAGTGATTCTGGAGGCATTCAAGAGAAAAATGGACAACCAACTATCAAATATACTTTGATCTGGATTCCTGTATTCAACAGGGGGTTGGACTCTGTGGTCTTATAGGCCCCTTCCAATTCAATTATTCTATGATTCCATGTTTTGATAACCCAGATTAGGCACCAGAAGCATTTGATTTAAAATAATTAAAGCTTCCTGCCCTTCATCCTTTTAGGTTCTGAGACTCATTAGGGCTCCCTTTTGTCCTGGGAAAGCCTTTGAGAGCCTTAAGATTGCAGGGGAGGCAGAATCATTAATAGTACAAAAAATTACTGCTGAATAGCTGGATTTTGAACTGATTTTACCTAGGAGAAAGCATTGCCACCTGCAAAGTATGTAACTGTTAATGCTGGCTTAAGAGTTTTGGTAGTTGAAGTCCTATTGCAGAAATGGTAAGAACCAGAAAATTCTACCAAATGTGGTTCTTTTTCTATGGATATGAGGAACTCTCAGAAAAATCTGAGACAATATTACACCATTCAAAGCCTTTCAGAGGACAGATAAAGAACTGTGGACTAAAGCTAAACCAAATATATTAGGAGAGTGTCCAGAACTGTGACGTACTCTATGGACTGGACTTAATCTCACACCAAGAATGTTTACAACAGTGCATCTAAAAACAATGGCTGAAATCAGATAGCATAAAGATGCATAAAACAGATGTTCTCATCAGCCACAGTTGTTTTTGGGAATTTCCTCTCTCTCTCTGTGTGTGTGTGTGTGTGTTTTTAAAGCTGACATGCAAAGACTTCTCAAAAGCTGAAAGTCACCTAAAGACGGTGTTCATGATTTCCGAACCCTGGGAGAGAGGAGAGAGGAGAAGGAAGGAAATTTACAATTCCCAAAAAACAGTTTTGGTTTATGACATCATCAGCCTATACAGTATAACTTAATGTTCCTAGATTTCACACAATATATAGGAAAGCAGAGTACTATATTAAGAAAACCAAGTCTGTCAGACATACCTTTCAGATAGTTATAATTTACAAGAACCATTATAGCCTCTGGATCAAGGCCCTTGATAACATCTTCTAGTTTTCCACGGGTTTTCTCCTCTATGTAGCTATTGATCTGATTTGTGGCTTCTTCAGGATTCTCAAAATTAGCATGAGAAACGTCAGACATATAGAAATGTTTGGTTTCATCCAAGAACTTCTTGAGGGGTTTCAGCTTCTCATCAATGAAAAGGGCATTCCCAATGTTCAGCTCATGTTCAGCATCAGGACTGTTTAATTTGCGGAGAAGATGGTGGAAGCCTTCATGTATTTCATGCTCAGTGATGTCTGTCTGGTTAAAACCAAGTCCTGACAAAAGCTGCCTCAGTGTGTCGGACTTTGCTCCCAGGGACAGCATGGAAAAAGCAGTGGAAATGCTCAGGGGAGAAAAAAAAATATTATTCCGGCCAGCCCCTTCAGCAGCTGCTCTGTAGAATTTGAAAGCAAAGTCGACATTACCTGGGACTAACTTCAGATAAGGCGCATTATGGTCATGTTTAGCAGAAATATGGTGCTCATTTTCCCTTTCATGATGGGCAGGGACACGGTGGCAATAAGCAAAAGTATGAAGCCCAGCAAGAAGTAAAGCTACATAGAGGTTAGCCATTATGTTCTTCAGGGTATAATCTGTAAAGAAAGAATCACATTTTCAGTGTCACTGCTTATACTAGGATAGTGAAAGACATTTGTATGAAGAAATTGCACAGCTTGACCTGTTTAATTTAGCATTCACTTGCCAAAATGCCCAGCCAGGTACGAAGGAGAAGCTCACGGTCAGGATAGGAGCATAGTACTACTCCCCTACTGATGTTCTCCAGCAACTGGCACTGAGATGTATACGGCACTACAGAGGTGTAGAGGTAGCTGCCTGGTGAATTCTGGGAGATGTCCAAAAACACAACTCTGCACACCTCTACTACATAGCCATCACTTATAGGCATTGATACCATCCTTCTCTGATATTTTCTGCTCTCCATAATATCCAGGGTTGTGCAGTTGGTTCAACTGATTGATTCTTAGACTGAATCAGGCTGATTTGGGCCTCTTCGGATAAAATGTAAAGCAGATTGGATTGGTCTGAATCAAAACAAGTTGATTCCAGATCAGTCCAAATCACTTGGGACCCAGAAATTAGCCTATTTTTTTTTGAAATTTCACTGGTCTAATAAAGGTACAACCTGATAGCCAATGTGGTGTAATGAACAGAGGAACAGACACAGCATGAGGAGATTTCAAATCTCTCTTGAGTCAAGGTAACCCACTGGCCGGCTAGGCTGGACACATATGTGTCATCCATAAGAATGTTGATTTGAATAAAGTTTCATGTGTTAATTTAGGTGTAGAGACACATATCAGATGTTTAGTGACTGCTATTTTTATGTAACTGGACATTATAGTGACTGCTTGTTTTTATGCAAAATGCTCAGAATAGTGCTGTGCACTTATGGGGCAGTATATAAGTACCCGAAATAAAGAAATAATAAATAGAAACAATTGTTGCAATCAGACCAGTACTATATAGTTCTCCTTTGCCTGACTGGGGATGACAGACCAGATAGCCTCATGAGCCGGCTGTCTGCATTCCTAGCATTGGTGGGCAACTTGAAGCCCACTGATTCACTTGCGGTGAATAGCCCCAGTTGCCCACTCCCATGACATGACTTCAAGTTGCTGCTTGACAACGGAAATTTTTATTAAACTTTAACTCAAAACAGGTTTAACTCAAAGCAGGACTAGCTACATCCAGCATCTTCCCTACATCCTGTGCATACTTTATTACCTTTCTATGTGTTTTACCAGTTCTCAAATACTTGGTAAAACACAGTAAAATGCAAGATAACTCTGGAAAAATCAAGAGTATTGGTAAGTTTATTCAACAAATGCAAACCATTTTTACAGAGAAATGTCTTTCATATGTATGTCATTCAAAAAGGCACGATACTTACATTACAGTTGGGGATGTCTTTCTGAAGAAGCATTGAAAAGTCCTGACATTGGCCTTTCCTTTATATGGCAGAACATCATTGAGAAACAGATGTTTTCCATTAAACATTAAACAGCGGCAATCATCCAGAAAGCACAAATGTTGAACAAAAATTATTTGTACACACCAGAGGTCCTACATCTATTACCTAATCTGACCTAGAATAAAAATTCAATGCAATGTCAATGGGAAACTGGAAGGTTTAGCAGGCACGTGTTCTAATCTCTGACCCCAAAATTGATCTAGGGCAAGATGACAGCCCTCATACTACTATTTCCCCCAACAATGTCAATTTCAGGATGCTCCACTCGCCTAACTCCTATTTACCTTTCCAATAGTGGGATGTTGTTTCCTTTTAAAAAGTTGTTTCACAGAGCTATGCTCTTGATTGTATATTTGTTAAATGGTCTCTATTTGGATGTTGAATAACAAGATATTTGTACGCTGAATAACAAGATTAAAAAAGGAAGTTTAAAAAAAATGATCCAGAACTTCTCCTGTGTGTAATGATTTCGGGATATATGCATATGTAGAAAAGTTGTTATCTGATGACATAGCCTTAAGGATGTCATCTGAAGCTATTTCTGTCCCAGTAGAGATTTAGCATAATGCCTGAAATCCTATTGCTTAGCATAGTAAATTGCACTAGATTAGGTTTATTGAATCCATGGAGATTTGGTGAATCAGTTCATAAATTCCACTGATTCAAAGGGGCTAACTCTAGTTGTGACTTATTTCAGTAAATCATAATTAGAGTAAGCCCATTTGAATCAATGGAACTTGTAATTCAGTGGGCCCAGTTTAAGATAACTTGCTGTGCTATACTAACAATAGGATTTGAGCCAGTGTTTAAATGCCTTACATCTCAGCTTCTGATCTACTGGATGCTCAAAGCAATAAAACCTAACAGAGTTTTCATCCAGAGAAACTAAATCTCCAAATCTTCAGTAAAGATGCCAAAAGAATATAAAAACTTCCTTATAACTGCTTCAAACAGGTTAAGGGCTGTCTGTGTAACAGTCTCCCTCTACATCTTGTTGAGAAAAAGTTGCATTAGAGAAGGATCAGGCCTCTGGAGCCTTTTGGAAACATGCCTCCATTATTGGCAACAACAATGATCAAAACAAACAAACAAAGGAACCAGCAAGAGTAATACAACAATGGTTTCAAATCTCAAAACAAGTTGTCCTGAAATGGAACCCTTCATAGCACTTGGAGCAAAACACACAGAGCATCACTCCAATGGCCAATTGAACCTCTTTTTAAACCTACACCTGTTAATTGTGTCACATATTGCTTATTCCTTGCATTTTAACTATCTGTTTAGCACAAATGCTGTTAGAGAAGTCTGATTGGTGGGTGGTTTAGAATTGGAAAGAGTATCTATTTCTCTCTTTGCTGCTGATAGTTATATGCCATCAAGTTGTTTCTGTCTAGAGACATGTAAATACTGTCTGATCCAATCCAATCGGTATCCATGTGCTTCCTGTACAGATCAAGACTGATTAGTCCAGAGCTAGTTTGAAGGTGGTCTGAACTTGTTGCTCCTCATGCTTGTGCAGGTATTTGAGTACAGGTATTTCTAGATTGATGAGGGGACTTTCAATGAGAAAAATAAAAAGGTTATGATGTGGAATGAAGGGGTGCTACGTGACTCTTCGTGACCCCATGGACCAGAGCACGCCAGGCCCTCCTGTCTTCCACTGCCTCCTGGAGTTGGGTCAAATTCATGTTGGACACTGTGGTATAGAAAAGGCTATTGGGTGCCATGATAAAAAGGCAACCAGGTCTAACTTCTGTAAGCTCAGACAGAAGTTCAATCTGTGGCCTTGCTATAAAAAAGTTTGGAATTTAGCTACTAATGATAAGTGTGTGATCTTAAGGTTAAAAGGAGTTTGATAAATAAATAAAAATAATTTTAGTGATATCTTGGGACTTTTTATTGAGCATGTATTAATAAAAAGGAAGGATTCTGCCATTTCGTAAGATTCAGTGACGTTTTGCAAAAGGAATGGGGCTTCCTAAATGGTGAATGACATAACCTATCTCCAGAGGTGTATTGTCTTTGTAGTTGTATAGTTTAAATTGGTTTTGTTAGAATTTTCTAAGTTTGATAAAAATGTTAAAAACTAACATTCATAAGACATATTTGCATTGATAATATGTCAGTTATTAATTATCTTAGTTTCATTTTCCCCATCCCATTTATTCAAGAAAATGCATAAAATCTTATTAAAAATCCAAACTAAATAAAATTTCCATTCCTCATCTTCAGTTGAGAATTTTGCTGGTTTTAATTTAATAGTGCCCTGATTTTTTTTTTTTTTACCAGCAAAGACCTGACCATTAGATACAGGCTCCTAATTCTTAATAATTATTCTGATGGTGGTTATGATTCAGCCTCATTTTCTCCCTCATGGTGTTGTGGTTATAGGCTAAGACTGGATCTTCAGGGCTTGGTAAAATGTATTTACAAATGCATCAGTCATAGGACTTTGTCCCAGGCTGTAGAGAAAAGAAAAACTCTTGTTGCCAGCTCCTGAGTGTAACATTAAAGTCAATAATCCCTCGGCCATATTCAGAAAGATCAAATTGTCCTGACATTTAACGACAAAGTGGTCATGTCATGGTTATCCCTATAGTGAGCAGAAACAGGGCAAACCCAGCAAAAAGCAAACACAGATTGAAGACCATGTTCCTCTGTAAGACTCTGTAAACAAAGAATTACATTTCCATTACAAATTTCAGTACATTAATTAAAGTCAACTATGTATAATGCACAAGTGTTATTTCTTATTTGAGCTTCTTCTGTTAGCTCTGCAGCTACCACCCTCTGTGTTTATACCTATTTAATGCTGATGGTGGACAATTGAGGATTCTAGCTTTCAGTTGCTATAAGTAGGACAACTGCTCTAACAGTTGGAGAGTTTTCCACCATATTCAACCAAAATCTGGCTTCCTGTAACTTGAGCCCCTTATTAGGTGTCCTCCACTCTGGGTTTATTGTGAACGGATCCTGCCCCTTGTCTGTATAGCAATCTTTCAAGTTTTTCAGAAGTTCTACCCTGTTTCCCCGAAAATAAACCCTAACCTGAAAATAAGCCCTAGGATGATTTTTCAGGATGCT